GCTTCTGTTCTGGGGTTGTTGCTGGCCTGGTCTCCATCACACCTGGTTCCGGTAAGTACTTGAACACCTCGGATCCCACTATCTGTGGAAAACAGTGGCCTGACCCATCATAGGATACGTCCCCGTTTGGGCTGCCGTACCTTTCGGCGTTCTCGGAGCTGCGTTTGCCAATTACGCCACGAAGCTCAAGTTCATCCTCAGAATCGACGACGCCCTTGACATCTTCGCCGTCCACGGAATCGGCGGTCTCGTTGGCAATATCTGCACTGCTTTTTTTGCCGCCAACTACATTGCTCGCCTTGATGGTGTTACCGAAATTGACGGCGGCTGGATTAACCACAACTGGATCCAGCTTGGGTACCAGCTTGCCGATTCGTTCAGCGGCGGTGCGTACTCATTTGTCGGCACCTGCATCATCCTCTTCGTTATGAACATGATCCCTGGTCTCCGCCTACGTGCCACCGAGGAGGCAGAGATCCTTGGTATTGATGACGCCGAGATCGGCGAGTTTGCCTACGACTATGTAGAACTCACTAGAGAGGTGCTCAACGACATGGATAACGAGGCGGCCAGCCGGTATTCGAACGACATAGGCTCATTCCAGCCTATGGAGAAGAACAACAGTATTCCCTTGATGGATGCCCGTAACTTTGCTGGATCATCACAATACCAACCACACCAATCACAGTTCGGTCACGCTCAATGAAGCAGAGGGGGCAGAAGTTTTAATTGCACAACCTTTTGCATGAAGCTAAATCTCGGCTCACGAGAAACCGCGACAGACCTCTAGTTCGACATGATCAGCTGCTATTTATTTACTATACCAGATGCAGCGCACGGTACTGTCGCTGGCCCAACTAGGAAGAGTCGTCACCGATACATGCGAGCCGAGGGCTGCTGTAGGATGCAATGACCTATCATACCGACCTCTCGGTGTGGAAGAATGAGGAAACGAGCAACGCCTTTGATTTGTAAACATAGTTGGATTCCCCCACCCCCAAAAATTTTACGGAGATACCAAGGAAAGTGGAGGTTGAAGCAGTCCCTTCCCTGACCGCTGTATATGTAATTAAATAAAAAAGTAAGACCCTTGACGAGATAGGGTCATTCCCTTGGACAATACAGACCAGAAATGGAATTTCTTTTTTCCAACTCGACGGGTCAATGTCTTAGTGCAAATGACCGACCCCCTCTTCTCTTTTCTTGACCACCGTACACTTGTTTTCTATTGGCTCATTCGAACGTTTACGCTAGCTCTATTATTGTTCTCTAGTGAACAAGATAGTGCTATGTAGCGGTAGCTGACGTTGACGCCCAGTAGAATTTAATGAAGCTCGCGATCACAAGAGCCCCTACCTATGCTGACCGGGTCCTGACTACCTACTCACCCGGGTGACAGAATAGATGGTCGGTTGCCATGTGGTAATGGTAAGGAAAAGCGGCCATTTGTTTTTTGTCACCCGGATGCTACTGAAGAACGCTCACCTTGGTTCTGTCGATCCAATGCAACCTGGTGCCAATCTCCTGGGAAGAGCCTATCGGGCACTGGTGGCTCCAGGGCCCTATCATCCAGTGGGGAGCTGTCAATGCTTAGTGCAACTTTTATTGGATGTCTTGCAGGCAGCCACAGCACCAATGCGGTATCTTTCCCATGCAAGTGCACCAGATCTGGCCAATTCGAGCATCTTTGTTCCAGGGGTTTCTCAAAGGTATCCCCATCCATCCCTTCCATTGACGACCTCGTCAAATGACAACTCACCATCGTTGACCATCTTGTGTATATGCCACACCCGCGCACCCTCACTTGTATTCTATCCTCCTTCATCCCTATTACCATCGTCTCATGGTTCCAGACATCACTGACCCACCACCATGACGCTGGTTCGATCGACATCAGTAAAAGGTTCCTGCACGCCTCTTTGACAACCAGCAAACCACCATGGCCGATACAAACACATCCTTTCGAGACAAAGCGCGATTTTTCCGGCAGCTAGAATCGCTGGGGAGACAAGATGATGATAACGACAGCGACGAGTTTCCAGATGCCGAGCTGCGTCACAGACAGCAACTGAAGGCCTTCCAAGCTGCGGCACAACCCCGTCAAACACTCCAAGAGAGGGCACAACAAGAGCCGCAGCTGCAGTCGCAGTCGTCGACTCCCCAACAGCTGACTTCGGACCCCAGAGGAACGTCGTCGATTCCAGTCCCGGCCCCGGCCTCACTCGCAGACCTTAGACAGAAGGAAGTCATTGAACGGACCCCTCTTGCCGAGATCAAGGGTCTCGGAAGGAAGGACGCTCCTGCCGCCGACAGCTTCATTGAAGACACGCCCGTCCCAGATTCGTCAATCAGGCCACCGCTCCGGCCTATTTCGACTCTCACTAAAAAAGGCGCTACACCTCTTCCTGCCACCAATCACGTACTGTCTCGCCGGGTTGACAATTCCCCCTCTGTCGCCGCGATGAAGAAGAGAAAGAGAGATCCCCCCATCAAAACTGTGCCCGAGGAGCAGCAGGTCTTTCGCGGGCTACGATTTTACTTTATTCCCAATGACGACATTGCGCCGGCAAGGAAGATTCGTATCCGGAAGGCGCAAGAGTTCGGAGCGTCTTGGGTAAGATCGTTGGAAACTGCAAGTCACGTTATAGTTGACAGAAATCTGAACTGGAAAAGCATCGAGTCTATTGTTCGCCCGACGAATGGCGCGGCATCTTATCTGGTTCTCAACGAAGAATATCCTTTGGACTGCCTCAAGTTCAAAACTTTACTCAATGCAAATCAGAAGCAGTATCGGGTCCCTGGGTCCCCAGAGCTATCTGCTGCCCCAGCTGAACCCCAGATCGGGTCCCGAGTTGGTCAACCATTAGCACCAACCTTGCAAGATTCGCCACTCGAGCCCCGTCAGGTAAATCCGAAGCAACGAGACTACGTACAGCTATCGACTCCACTCAGAAGCTTGGGATCCTCTGGATTGACAAGAGGAAAGGACGCGAATGCCACATCACCATCGGCCCTTAGAGACATCACAGAGATTGTACTACCATCACGCATTCCTGAGGGCAGTAGTCAAAGCATCGATGACGATGATGATGAGATGCCTACAATCATCGAGAAGCAGACCCTTGGTCTCGAGGATGAACTCGAGGATGTCATTTCTCAGATGCAAGAGTTTAGGGACCTGCCTCTGGAACATGATGACGACGACATGGCAACCTCGATGCAGTCACCGGAGGATGCTTTTGACGTTGAAGGCTCCGAAGATGAGCGGCGGAGAAGAAAGAAAGTAGCCACCAGGAGTCGGGGCCGCAAAGACATGACGTGGGAAGACAAGTTCGCGTGCCACAGAGGGGGTACTAACGGAGGCGGCCAAATGAATCCGAACGGCCGTACAATTGAGATTTTGCAGCAAATGTGCAATTACTATGAGCGTGTCAACGACACCTGGCGACCCATTGCTTACAGAAAAGCCATTACGCAACTAAAGCGACAACCAAGCAAGATATCTACAGCCGAAGAGGCAATCCGGCTGCCTGGGGTCGGCCAGCGATTGGCTGACAAGATTGAGGAAATCGTCACGACGGACCGGCTTCAACGGCTGGAGAGTGCGGAGCAAGAGCCAATGGACAAGGTTTTGCAGATGTTTCTCAACATTTACGGCGTGGGCAGTGTACAAGCAAGCCGTTTCGTCTCGCAGGGGTTCCGGACGCTAGAGGACCTAAAGGAAAAAGCGAAGCTCACCCCGAATCAGCGAATCGGCATCGATCACTACGACGACCTAAACACGCGCATCCCTCGCTCTGAGGTGAAGCTTCTAGGAGCAGTGGTCAGATCGGAGGCTGCGAAGCTAGACCCAGCAGTTCAACTCATTATTGGAGGCAGTCATCGCCGCGGCGCCTTGGACAGCGGCGATGTTGATTTCCTCATCACCAAGAAGGGGGCGAGAGCAACATCTGATCTTACACCATTCTTGCATAAGTTGGTAAAGACGCTCGAAACTCAGAACTTCCTCGTTGCGAGGCTTGCTGGATCCAGAGACGAGACCGATGGCAGCAAGTGGCACGGATGCTGCGTCTTGCCCAAGATCAGGGGGGTCAACGACGAGAACTATCGTCGTGTCTGGCGACGTGTGGACTTCCTCGTAGTCCCGGAGACCGAGATTGGCGCAGCGCTGATCTACTTCACGGGCAACGACATCTTCAACCGGAGCATCCGGCTGCTGGCATCGAAGAAGGGGATGCGGCTCAACCAGAAGGGTCTTTACAAGGATGTGATGAGGGGCCCTGGGCGCGTCAAGCTGACCGAGGGCGAGTTGGTCGAGGGACAGAATGAGAGAAGGATCTTTGAGATCTTGGGGGTCAAGTGGAGAGAGCCCCATGAGAGGTGGTGCTAATAAAAGCCGAGCGAGGTATGTTGCTGTACTGGCACCTAGCATAGCGTGGCGTTGGATAGGCTCTTTTATGTTGCGTTGGTGCTCCTCCCTGTTGACTACCTAGGAAGTTTCCAATTCAAGAACGCTTGGCTTCCCTTCCATCCCTTTTTTTGTGAAGCTCTTCTTAAGCTCACCGGACCGACGTGGGTTGTTCCTTTGAAATAGTTCCAACTGCCTACTCAACGGCAATGGAAAATGCAGAGTCCCTCGGTTCAGTGTTCACACGATCCAGGCAGGCTAGCTTATACGGCAGGACCCCATCTCAGAGACTCAGTACGGCAAACCCGTGAGCGTAGTGTAGTGGCGTGCAACGGGCCGGCAATAGGGGTCTGCCAGCTGTAGCTACTCCATAAGTACAGAGAGAAAAAAGAAAAGAAAAAAAAGGGGGGGGGGAACCTTCCCATTAGGGAAAAAAATTAATACAGCTTGGGAAGGAACGTGTCGTGGTTCTGGAATAAAGTGGGATGTAGAAGCGGGGCGCTCCGGCCGGTACAGGGTGCAGGCGGTGACGAGCATTGAACGGCGCAATCAGGATTGATTTTTTTATTTTATTTTTTTTGCCGTGTGCTGTCCTGCCGCCCCTCCTCCCCCTCCAGTCTCTGACAGGTCACCAATTCTGCCGGGCCCGATCATGTCGAGAAGGTCCCCCAGTTTCCTGCACCCATAGCCCCGCCGACCCTTTTCCCTTTCTTCACCGCGCCGCCTTGACTATCTGTGTTTCTTCTCCCTCCAGAAATTTCGTCCGTCCTTTTTCTCATCCTTGTGAGTTTTGGTTCTGTTTCTCGAAACCGATCCGCTACCACGTAAACCTTCCTTCGTCCACAACGCAGAGCTCGGCCGAAAAAAGTTTTGTCGCGAAGCAATAAATAAACTCAACATGGGCAACGACACGCATATGGAGGTTGACGCCGCCGAGCAGAAGCTCAAGGGCATGGAGCACTCTGAGCAGCATTACTTCAAGAGGTACGTTGGAGATCCCTTCCAGTTGATATGGGGGAAACTTCGCAGGAAGCAAGATCCGTTGCTAATGCTGCCGCGTCTAGCTATGACCACCATGGTAAGTGCCGTCTCGCGATCCAATTGAGTACAATAGAAGAATCTTGATGTCTAACCGGGTGAGATGTGAATCAGGTATTCACGAGGAGATGTTGGTATGTTGCTTCACCCCCTTGTGCGCACACAGCTGTCTGCCCGCGACTGCGATATCTGAATAGCCTTGCTAACCATGCCGTTCCGCAGAAAGATGAGGTCCGCACGCGCTCCTACATGAATGCTATCGTCCAGAACAAACACCTATTTAAGGACAAGGTCGTTCTCGACGTTGGCTGCGGTACCGCCATCCTTTCCATGTATGCAAACTGCCCACCCCGAATCAAATAAAACAGAGAGGGCCAGATGGACTGACCATGTTTGCTCTTGCACAGGTTCGCTGTCAAGGCCGGTGCGAAGCACGTTATTGGTGTCGACATGTCCACCATCATCTTCAAGGCGCGTGAGATCGTCAAGGTGAACGGCATGTCCGACAAGATCACCCTGATTCAGGGCAAGATGGAGGAGGTCGAGCTTCCCTTCCCCAAGGTCGACATCATCATCTCTGAGTGGATGGGTTACTTCCTCCTTTACGAGTCCATGCTGGACACTGTCCTGTACGCTCGTGACCGCTACCTGAACCCCGACGGTCTCATTTTCCCCGACAAGGCCACCATCTTCGTTGCCGGTATCGAGGACGGCGACTACAAGGACGAGAAGATTGGATGTTAGTTCTGATTGTCACCCCTGCTCCAGCACACCTGAACAGACGCTGACCGAACCCAATAGTCTGGGACAACGTGTACGGCTTCGACTACAGCCCGCTCAAGGCTACGGCCCTGTCCGAGCCTCTCGTTGACACGGTCGAGATGAAGGCTGTCGTTACTGACCCCACCGCCGTCTTGACCCTGGACCTCTACAAGTGCCAGGTGTCGGACCTTGCCTTCACCACCCCGTTCCGCCTCTCTGCCCGCCGTGATGACTTCATTCACGCCCTCGTCGCCTGGTTTGATATTGACTTCACTGCCGCCCACAAGCCCATCCGCTTCTCGACCGGCCCCCACACCAAGTACACCCACTGGAAGCAGACCGTCTTCTACCTCAAAGACATGCTCACCATGACCGCCGGCGAGGAGGTCGACGCAACCCTGCACGTTAAGCCCAATGATAGGAACCGCCGTGACCTCGACATCAAGATCGAGTACAAGTTCCTGACCGAGGACCCTACCCGTGCCGCCGAGGGCGTCTGCGAGTACAAGATGTGCTAATCGCACCAACGTCTTGGACCCGGCATGTGTCCTCCCCTTGGGCGGTTGACCTTGGAAGAGAGACCAATACCCAACCACAGCAAGGCTTCGTGAGAAGCGGGGTGTGTTTTACCCAAGGAAGCGGACTTATCCGTCAGAGAACGATGGGAAAACCCGCCGAGATATCCAGCTTCTGCTCCCCTCGGGGGACGAGCCTGTCTGCTATTTGCGCCCAAAAAGTTAAAGTTTTTTTTGTTAAGAAAGAAAGAGGAGAGAGAATCCAGCCTGGCTGCGTAACCTGCGCCGGCGAGGGGGCATGGCGCGGCCTCCTTCCCATATTGGAGATATCCCCTCCTGTTTTTTTTTTTTTTTGCCTGTTCTGGTTTTAAACGATACAAGCCTTGCCGCTAATAAGCTTGCATGTCGTGATGGAGGAGAGGGAACGTGAGGGGAAGAGAAGAGAGGAAGACAAATGAGAGAGGGAGAAAGAGGAAGACATAGAAACCAAAAGGCATACGCAGTCTTCGACCTGCTACAATAGATCATGACTAATGAATCAGACATGAACCTCCCGAATCTTTGCTTCTTCTATGCCGTGAACCGGTTGGGCCGTAAGGGGGACGTCTCCGAACACACGGTTTTTAATTACTATTCTATGTTGAGTCGTCTCTCCTCTTCTATCATCCTCGTCTTCTAAGGCCGTGGAATGTAATCAGTCGTCTTGCCCACGCGCCGGTCTGAATCAAGTAAACGCTATGCTATCTATACTCTCATCCACCCCACCCTTCCCACAATACTTCTCCTACTGGTCCTCGTCTCGACCGTTTTCCTTGTGCGGAAAAAAAAGAAGAAAAAAAGAAAAGAAAAGGAGGAAAAGCAGACAAGACCGACCCGCTCCTCTTCTCACCTCCCTCTTGCCGCGTCCATGCGAACGTTGCCGCCCATGCTGATTGAAAATGCCTCGCGCTTGTCTTTTCCTACCCTGAACGCCAGTCCTTGCTAATGCTTTATATCTCGCGATGCAATGTAAAATAGGAGAATAGGCTGTAAAGGCCGCCTACTCCCCGAGCCCGCCGTCTTCCTCCCGTACGCTTCGTCGTCTTCCCTCCCGCTTTTGTACCTCGGCCCCAGTCGAGACCAAAAAGGAACTGTGATCGTTCCGGGTATAGGTTCAAACAACCGGCGCCCCTTTCACCCTTGTCTCGCCCGCTCACATCCCACCCGGCCCATGCGTCATCCAATCCTCAACCGTGTCCTTGCCCCGGAATACGACGCCGAGCATGACGGTGAACTCGTCCACCTCCCTCGGGTCCGCGAGCGCGAGTAAGCTCGAGAAGTCCATCCGGCTGACCCACCACGCCGTGTCACCTTCGCGGGATCGGTTCCACCGCTCCGCCGTTGTGGCAGCCCACAACCGCGTCTGCGCCGTGAAACACATGTCCGAGAGCCTTAGGGCGTGGTGGTGATGATGGTGATGATGCGGGTGTGGGTGTCCTCCGCTGCCGCCGTGGTGTTGCCCGACACCTCCACCGCCACCACCTCCTGCCCCATTACCCCCGAGCTTGCCGTACCCCGCGCCCTGCTTCGCCGCGGCGTAGATCGCACGAACGAGGTGTGCCATGGTGAGCACGCGGCGGATTGATTCGGCCATCAGCCACCGCCGCCACGCGGCCTTGAGCTCCTCTTTCGTCGGTCGGCCGCCGCCGCCGCCGGGGGTGTTGGAGCGCGAGTTGTCCGGCGACATGTCGTGCTGCTGCGTGTAAGACGACGCCGACGATGAGGACTGCTGCTGCGGCGGGACGTGTGTCGCCGCTTCCGGGATGGTGGGGGGTGGTGGTATTGCCTCCTCGACGAAGACAGCGGCTCCCACACGGGACTGTAGGGCGGACGTCCACGCCGCTAGGATGGGCTCGGCCGAGTCGGCCAGCACACGCTGACGGATGTCGCCGTCGAACCAACGCATGATTTGGTACATGACCAACGCCTGCAGGGCGGCGACCTGCTGCGGAAGGGTCCAGGTCGCCTGCTCGGGCACGTATAGCAGGGCCGTGGCCTTTGCCTCCACAACGCCGAGGACGAGCGCCGAGTTCTCTTCGTTCTTGGCCGCGTACGCCGCGCACGCACAGAAGCAGTCCTGGAGCACGGGGGGCAGGCCGTCGGCGCCGTTGTTGGTGGGGAGGTAAAGCGCCGGGTGGATAAAAGGGGCGACGCCGTTCTGGCTCACCCAGCGCCGCGGGAGGCACTTGAACTGCTCGTTGCAGTAGAGCACCGCGTCCCTCGGGATCGATTCGCTGGTAGGAGGCGCTGCCATGACGGCGGGCGAGGGGGTCGGCACACCGGTGACGGCGGCGTTTCCGTAGAATAGGGGCCACGAGGTCTCCGTCTCTGGCACGACGGGAACGGGCAGGATGTTGTGGAGGGAGTCGGTCGGGGTGCCCGCAGAGCCGTTGAGGACGTCGGTGAAGAAGTTGAAGTCAGCGGCAGCGACGGCGGCCTCGAGCGAAGGGTAGTTGCAGTCGTCCAACCCCTTCTGGGTGCACCGGCCGCAGCGGGGCAGGCGCTGGTCGCATCGACGCTTCGCCTGCTGACACGCAGTGCAGGCGCGGCGCCGAGTCGATATGAGGGGCGACGAGGAGCTCGACGGGGCCGACATGTTGGTCGAGTCCGGAGCCCGATGGGCGGTTGGTAGCGTGATGCCTCTAAGGAGGTTTTAGGCTTGCTGGCTAGGGTGACGCCGAGGGAGGGGGGGAGGGGGGTGGGGAGTGTATGCGTTGGCCGTGTGAAAGTCTGGGCTACAGTGTGATTGTGTGTATGTGTATGTGTATATGTGTATGTGTGTGTGTGTGTGTGTGTGTGTGTGTGTGTGTGTGTGTGTGTGTGTGTGTGTGTGTGTGCGTGTGTGACTGTATCGTCGGGATGCTCAAGCTTCGCAGACCAAGCTACGCTCACAGCGGTGAAGGGGAATGGAATAGCGCGGGCAGTCCGCCCAAGATGTCCCCCTCTCGCTTGGCCCGACTTTGCCACGGACGACACAAGCGTACAAAGGCCTTACCAGCTCCCCTATGAGAGTTTCTGGTTCCGTGTGGACGGAGTAGTGATCACCGGTACGGAGCGGAAGTGGTTGCGGCTCTCCGCCTTGGGTGAGTGGAACTCCGCTGCGGGCAACGACTTTCCGCGTTGCTGGGTTTTCCGAGGGGCGGCACACAATAGCGATCGGCCGTCTATTCTCTTCGGGTTGGGCGGTGCTCCGTAGTTGCCCGTTGGACATGATCAGGTAAACCCAACGTGTCCTGGGGCTGCCGCTGGCGCCTCTCCTTTATATGGGCAGCAGGCTGCAACGTTTTCCCTCACGAGGTCTCGCCCATACGAGACACACAACGTGAGAGGGAGTGGATTGAGCTGGACGAACCGAGAAGACACGATCGTTGCCCGATCTAGTCCAGGTAAGCGGTTGTTCAGAACGCTGGCACCGAGGGCCTGGCCTTGCTGGTTAGGTCATCCAGAGTCGCCCGTGAGTAAGCGTACATAAGGAGTGACTGAAGATGGGACATGCCCTGGTTTGACGAGGCCAAAAGGAAACAATAAGTAACACATCGATAATGGCGGCCCGATACCGTCGTTTGTGTGCGGGACGAGTTGCCCTTGAATCAAGAGAGTGCCCACCCTAGCAGAGTGGGTGGTATCTGGGTACTCGGTCTGGTGCAATGTCAGCTAACTACCGTGGGACCGTTACGCAAGATCTGGGGCGATGGAGACATGCGGATGAATTTGAGTTGTCCTGCATTGTCCATCGTTGTCTCCGGCGTCACGCCTCTCTCCAAACAGGATCTCCCTATGGCCTCTACGGTCTAGAGACAAGACAGTACACTGTACTGTGTGCAGACTGTTTTCCTAAAAGGGCAATTATTCATCCAGATAGTCCCTGACGATGCCCCAGATGCGTGGTGCCGCTGTTCCGCTTTGCCTCATATTACCTCGTGACTGCTCACAGCTTATCGACATACACACAAATGCTTAGAAGTAGACGCAGCCATCACCGCTTTCCTCCGACGCCAGTACCAAAATGGCAGCCCCCCAGTCTCTGGCACAGCGAACGGGAGGGCAGACCTCGTGTCTGCGGGCGTGGGTGGATGTGCGGTCTGGCGCCCTCCCCGGGATTCCACAATCAAGCCATTGCGTCACATAATCAGTCTGTCACCCTCCCTCAAGCATGCCGTAAGCACCCCGGAACCGTCTTACCACTTAGATACTCTCAGCCTTGCGAAAGCATGATGTTGGAAATCGTTAGGGGCCTCATGCTTGCTCCCCCCGTCGATTCATAGTGTCTTGCAGAAAGAACTGTGAAACTACCTGGCGTGCGATGACCGAATGGGAGAGGGTGAGGGCTCGACGGCTTGGTCCACCGCGTCTCCTCAACCCGGAACCCTCGTCGCAGTGCCTCTCACTGTCCTCGCACCCTGCAAGCTGACGTCGCTGGCAGACCTGTCGGTGACAAAGCAACAGCGCGTGGGCGCCATCGGCGACAGCCAAGGCCGATTTGGCTCATGGCTTCACTGAAAACGGGGGAATGTGGCATGTTTGAGGCTGTTCGAGCTGGGACGAGTCTCGTTTCCTGGTCGCCAGCCGCCACTCTCGCTTTTCGACGCCGCGCGCGCTGCCAACCTCGTATTCCACCCTGGTGCCCTGGCAGGACGCTCCGCGAACAAACAGTGCAGTGCTTGCACGAACAGGCAGCAGAATTAAAATCAAGAAATCTGCTGTCGGGTCTTCAGTGTGCTGAGTGTATCCGTAACTGCCGACTACTGCGCCTCTGGCCACCTGAATTCCAAATTCAACCTCAAATGTCCCAGCAGCCATATCTAGGGGGCCTAAGTCCGATCTTGTCGAGATCTAGTTGGCTGGTTCGTAAAAAAAAATAAAAAAAAAAAAAGGCGGCGATTATGGCGCCGCTGGGCATCGTCAACCACTTGAAGGAACGAAACCCCCGCGATCATGTCATCGCTAGCCGCCCCTGCTTAGAGCCATGCAATCGGATTCCCTGAGTTGCCGCAGTGGTAAAAGCATTACTATGTTTAGAATAAAAGAACACTGTTTGTAGTGGGGGGTCTCAACGTTCGATTTCGATCCCGCAACACAGCTGCGCCGTTCGCGTTCTGTTTCGGTCGACAAGATTTCCAGCTAGATTTCGGGTTGTTGGTCTGCTTTCAGCTGTGGCCGGGGGGTTATTGCATCCCCCCGAGTCCATCTTGCGATGCCTCTAAAAACTAGGTACCTGTGACCAGCCTGGTTTTTGCGAAAACCTCGGCTTATTCCGAAACTCTTTGTTCGAAGCCGGTCCAGTCTTTTTGTTCAAGTGGCATGCGTATCCGTGTAGAGGGCATTCTTCTTCCGTGCAGACGGCCCGCGGGTATGAAACCCTCGCACGTGGGACCGTTGCATTTACAAAGATTCTAGGTAGAGAGAGTCCTGAAGTCCCCAGGTCCTAAATCCCCAAGCACTTGGCTCAAAACACAAGAAAAGCTTTTCGGACAAAGCGCGCCACCCCGCAGGACTTGGGCCCGAGAGGTTGGTTGGCACCGCATAAGCCATGAGCCCAGAGCCCAAATCGACGGAGCTGCATGTGTGTCTGAGTTGTTTTGAGGCCGTCGCTTTCAGAGTGGGGGCTTCCGGAGCACCTCGGATCTTCAACCTCGCACGGCTTGATCGAACTCCCAAGACTCGCAAATTCCAGTGGCATGGCTTGAGAACCGAGGCAGAAGCTGACCTACCACATTCAGCAGGTTCTCGGCCAGTAACAGGCCGAGAGAGACATGGAACTCAGCAGGTGGCCACGCACGCCTCCTCGATACTTCCCTGATGGCGTCCCCAGCCGCCGTACCGGGTAAGCCGAAAGTACATAGGCTCGGTCCGAGGCTTCGTCGAAAGCGGTGACCCCCACATGCTGTAAGCAATGGCGTCTGAACCCCGTGGGTTGATGCAGGCCTGGAGCATGAAACAGGCACATTTTCGGACAGAGTCAATTCGGCACGCCTGGACGTCGGCCGCGTCGTCCGGAGTGATACGAACGGGTGCAAAATGAAGACCGCTTCTTCCGTGGCCAGTCCGAGCCCATTTCCTTCGTGCCTCGTGTGCAGTGGTGCGTATTTAGGTTGGGAACCCGGGTCGCAATTTCAGACCATCTCCGGCATGGAGGGTCCAGTGAGGCAGTGCCTCCCACTTCAATATTGGCTGGCGAAACAGGCATGCATTGCATTGCATGTCATTTAACTGACTGGGTACTCTTCGAGCTGCGCATTGTATCCAAAGCGGTAGCGTCCAGTATGCGCGCGACATCGAGACAAGCGTACAAAGTTGCCAAGATCGCGGTGGAAACAATCGTCAACGGACGACGTTTCGAGGGTTATCTGGGGCTCATGTTGTCTCCCGCCACACCGGAGATGTAAGTTGGAGCGGGCCTCTTTCCTTTCGTGCTACTGAAGGCGGAATGGTAGACCAGGCAATACTAATAGGTATCCCCCGGTGATCCTCAGCTGAAGAAAACATACGTATCCTTGCCCAACCGTCGTGGGCACTGGCCACACCCCCTTGCTGTCAAGAACGCGATCTACAGGGTACCTTACCATTAATAAGTTGGTGCCCCTCGTCTGTGCAAAGCGATAGTAGATAGCTACCTAGGCAAGGGAGCGTTGACCTCGTGATTCTTTGGGGAAATGTGCCCAGGCAGAACAGTGAACCTAGTTTATAGTATCTTTATGCCTTTCCATGTATATACGAATAGGGGAGACGGCACTACCGGTCGAAACGAAACCAGTGTGCGACTGAGTATCTTTCTCTGACCGGATTCGCTCTTGATAGGGGCCCTCATCGAATGGTCATTTGCGTGCCGCTGATACCTCATGAAGCGCTGCCGGCCCTTTTCAACCACACCCCTTGCTCTTATGGGAGAAAGCAAATACTTTGATTCCCTAGTCCAGATGTACGGTATGACTCTAGTGACAGGCCGTTTTCGAAGTAGCCCCTTTCTGAACAGGCGGCCAATAACGAGATGAAAATCATAGCCGCTCGGGGAATGAGCCTTTCGGTCCGAAACCCTATTGCAGCATCGCATTGGCACATGCCACAGGGCTTCAGCAATGATCTCTGAAAACACCACTGAACTGACACGGCAGCCACACGACAAATTTTTTTTATTAAAAATTAGGCCGCCAGCACTTGCCATAGTAGCATTGCCTTACATACCGTAGTAGTGGCTTTACGAAGACGAAACGGGTAGAAACAGCTTTCTTAATGCTTCACGGCCCGGATGGCAATGCCAGCACGCTGGGTGAGGGCCCCACCAATTGCACAGCACAGCCAAAGTGCTGGCGTCTCGCCTTGATGTCTAATTTCAAAAGATGCAAGGTGGGGGTGGGGCATGCTAAAATTATCTTTGCCCAAGGTGTAGGTAGTTGATGGAAAGCCTGCTAAGCCGCTGGTGCAGTTTAGGTTGGCTCAACTGTTCAAAAAGGTGGTTTGGGTGTGTCCGTAGATCACCTATTGTACGATATAAGCTATCTGGAGCTGAGCGCGAGGTGTGGCACGTGTCCGGACAACCGGAGTATGTCTGTGCAGTCACATCAGGAAGTAAACCACTACCGGTACCGTAAACACTGGCTAAATTTGACCACCTCCACTTTGCAAGCTAACGGCAACGAGTATCGCCGCCGCCGATTACGCTAAACCCTTTATAGAAGGCAGTCAACCCACCCATCCACCCATCCACCCATCCACCCACTTGCCCACTTGCCCACTTGCTAGCCCATCAACCAACTAACCCACCAACCCACCACGTTATTTACGATGCCTAACTGCCTGCCGCTGGGCGAAGTTAACCTGAATATCTAACTAGTTACGCCTAAGCAGAAGATAGGCAAGAAGCCTACACCTATTTTAAAGCAACAATATACCCTAACTAAACTAATTAAAAAAATTAAAAGGTTATATAGTTAGCAAAAAAAAATTAAAGTATTATTATACCTTAAGCACTACTGTTATCTAATTAACCTTTTATAATAATATTAACTTTAATAGGTTAATAATACTCCTTTTAACATTATAAATAGCCTCTATTGCCTATTATTTAAGGAGGCTACCTACTATTATAAAATCCTTTGCTTAATAGTTAAATACTAGTATTAATAATATAATACTCTTATTAGCTTAACAGTATATAACTATTAACTAGAATAGCTAGTAATAGAAGCTAACTTATATAGTTACTTTTAATAATAATATAATAGTAACAAGATTATTACTACTAGATAGTTTAAGCAAAAGGCCTAGGCCCTTTTTATAGCTAACTATTCTTATACCCTTATAGCTAGTAACCTGCCTACTTATCCCTTCTAATTCTCTATAGGTTAGTTTAGTAGTTTTTATATATAATAGAATATTTTACACCGCTAGCTTATAAAGTAAGCCTTAAAGCTACCTACTAAATACCTTACTATTATTACTAACTTCCTTTACTTTAACTAATAGGTTAGTTAGCCTTTACTTACCTAGTAGTAACTGCCTATTAGTAGCCTCTAATTTCTACCTAACTATATTATTAACTTTAATAAGACCTTTATCCCTTTTAAGTACCTTAATAGCTTAACTTAGGCAGCCTAAGGGGCCTATACTATGGCTAGTAAGACTAACTATAGTGGCTAGAGTAAGCAGTAAGCTACTCTTATCTTCTATATCTTTACTAATAGGGTCTAATAGCTACTGCTAAAGCTTATCTTTTACAGTAAGCCTAGTAGCCTTAGTAGCTAACTAGAGGCACATAAGGGTAACTTATATAGTAAAGAGGTAATAGTTAAGTATAATAATATAGCTTATAATAACAAGTATCTCTTTAGGCAGTAGCTAATATATAAATTTTTTCCTTTTATAGTAGAGTAAAAATACCTATTAGTTATAGATATTACTACCTTTTATAAGATGCCTACTATACTATTATAACTTTAATTTAACTATATAACGCCTAGCCTTATACTACTAAGTATAACCTCTCTTCTTTAACCTCTAGATACTACTATTAATAAGCCCTTTAAGCAGTAGTTATCTAAGGTAACTAATAAGTATATATAGTAAATAAAGCAAGCTACTACTAGCTAGCCTAGCTTACCTATTTAACCTATACCTATTAAGTAGTCTATGTTAATAAAATATATTATAGTTACCTATACTATTATAATAGCTACTTATTGCCTAGCTAAAAGAGGCAAAATAGTCTAGTAATCCTTTGTTTAGTGTAAGATTAGTAGTAACCTAGATAGAAGCAATATTAACAAGATTTAGATTAAGGATATACTAAATAAGAAGATATTATAAGATAGTTAGGATAACTTTAACTATAACGCCTATATTAAGAAGGAAATTACTTATAAAAAGATACCTAACGTTAATATAGATAATAACTATAATAAGTATATTTCTACAGCAGAAGAAGTCTAGTAGACTATTAGCAATAGTCTACTTGTACCTATTAACTTAACAAGAATTACCTAGCTATAGGAAATCTAAAATAGTAATAGTATATAGGAGTAAGCCTAATGCTAATAAGAAGTCTGTTTACTAGCCTTTACTACCTAATTTGCTTCTGATGTATATGACTAACCCCTGCTTTTGCTACCACTAGATCCCTGTTTCTGCCAGCAGACTATACCCCTCACGGCAGGCCGCGATACTCGTTGCCGTTAGCTTGCAAAGTGGAGGTGGTCAAATTTAGCCAGTGTTTACGGTAGTTCACCTATCAACAGGGGTGGGAGCACAAGGCCAGGAACATCAATGTCTCCGCCACCACTAGTTTGGATTCCGTTAACAGTCCACGTCGGCTGCTCGAATTAACCCACCTTGGTAACTCGCGGGTCGCCCGGAATGGACCAAGCCTGAGAGCTTCCTAGATGCAGTGATGCATAAGGTAGTCTCGATTTATGGTGTGAGGACAAAGTGATATAGTTTAGGTGGGGCTCAATCAAGACAATGATACGACATGTGAAAAGGAAACATCCCAATGATTAAGACACGGTAGGCAGTCATTTGCATGGTACACCCGCTACCTGGACACTGTTACAGGAAGAAGGAAGCAAGCAATCAAGCAAAGAAGAAGATTCTCACAGGAACAGCGAGGTACGCGGCCTTGTGGTCGAATGATGACAGACGGCCTGAGTAATATGACAAGGACATGCATGGGGGAGGAAGAGAGGCGAGGCGAGGCCAGAAGCCTCAGGAACTGGAAGGTGGAAAAGGGCAGCAGCAAGATTGGTACGTACTTGTGGCAGGAGGCTATAGTAAGATTGCGCCTGTTTGGATCTGTCAAAAACGGTTGTCTCACCCCTGCCGCCGGCCAGGGGGTAAGGGGGCGGCGCTATGCGACTAGAGCAAGGTACCATCGACCAACCGTGCCCCTTGTTCTTTGTCCCCCATATTTCTTGTTCTTTCCACGTTGGAATACAATCCAGCAACCAAGGACTCCCATTGGAGGAGGCCTTTGTTTCTCAGGATGCCGCCTTCGTACTACCTTACCTACCTAAGCATACCTTCGTAGCAGTGCCTCCCTGCCTTATCTCGCTGCGGCGCGTAGAAGGTTCATTTGCTACCTAGGTAGGTAAGCAATCCCGGATCTCCCTGAGTTGCCATTTGGGGGGATATCATGCCGCGGCAGTGACCAGGCGGTCAGAGTCCTTCGTCCGGACGCGCCCGTCATATCACCAAACGTGAGTGGTACGTACACTGCAAGCACGCAGCGAGCGTCCTATAGTGGGAATGGTACAGACGAGAACTCAATCCATCCAGCGCATCGCCAA